ACCTAACTATTAATCATCCACAAAATGTCATCTCAGAGGTGTTTCCATGGTTTCCAACACCCACTTTCCAGAAGCATGGCAATGTCCCACTGGTGTGCATGGTGGCTAACTCATCTGCCCTGATCTCTTTGTTTGCAACATTACTTACACTGCTGATTGAGTTGAAAGAAATGTTGTGTTTCATCCCAGGAATATCTGTGCAGAAAGATGAAAGGAAAGTTGCTTTGTGGCAGTCAAGTGAAGTGGATATGGATAATCAGTGGCATAGTCATATATATCAGTTGAAGAGGAAGGGGCTAAATGATCTCAGTCTGGTTCAGGGCCAATCAGCTGGAATTTTCCAAAACCTCAAGTACCAAAACTCAGCATGGTAAGATGAGGACTAAATGTCCAAAAATCCAAAATGATCACTCCCCATTAGCCTTGTTTCAACTGGGGGGAAAAGTTAAGGACATCCAAAAAATTCCCAAGAGTAGTTGAATGGAAAGTTTGCTAACCCTCTATTGAGAAAAGGCTTCCAGCACCACTCTGAGCTTTTTTAACCCCCTTTTTTTTAGTGCCCATCAACAATATACAGGGTGTTCTAGAAATATCTGGCTGACTTTGATCACATATCTGTTTAATTTTTCATTTAAAAGTTTTTCATTGTAAAAAAAAAAAAAAAAAAAATTGGCCTCATTACATCTCTGAAGTGCGAGCTTCACTTGATGCCCAGTTGCAAGGTCACTGGATTGGCCATAGGGGTCCAGTTGAATTTCCCCCTCACTCCTCTGACTTGACTCCTTTAGACTTTTTTTGTGGGGCTATGCAAAAGACAAGGTTTACACACGAAAGCCCAAGACAATTTGCCAGCTGAAACTGGAAATTGAAAATGTGTCTATCCCAGTTGAAATGCTGCAGTCCTGTGTGACTCAGTTTTCCAGCATTGTGTGAAATGCTATAATGCTGCTGGCAGTCATTTTGAAAAGTGAAATGAAAAGGCATTAAACCTGCTTTAAAAACTTACATCTTTTTTTTTCTTTGTGAATGATCTTTTTTTCTTTGATAGTATCCAGGTTATTCCCGATCAAAGTTAGCCAGATATTTCTGGGACACCCTGTATTGTTGTTGTTTGATCCTCATGCAAAAATGAGGGAGGATCAGGACACTAAGCCTATGAGAATGCAGGGGAAAATATTAGAATTTTGATAATGGAAACATCAGCTGATACTCTGGATCTTTCACCTTGGATTTGCTTAATTGAACTTATCCTCTCTGCAGTGTCAAAAATACTTTAAGTAACCTCCAAATTATCCCAGTAATTTGTCTGACATTGCACAGTAGCATAGCTCAGTAGTTTTTCTGATTTGCCCTACCATTCAAAGAATGTCTGCTCTGGATCACAAAGTTTGCATAGAGCCACCAAGCTACTGGATATGATGAAAAATCAATACTTTTATGGCTGATTCCCGACCCTTTCTTAAAAGTACCCACTTCCTTTATCCGTCGTACACTTATACCAGCAGAAACCGACGTACCTAACCCTAACTGACTTTAGGATAAGACTAAGAGTACTTCTTGTAGTCGTATTTATAGCTTTCTTCCTTGAATAAGTCTCCTTGTTCATTTGAAAATTCACTTGCAACTCAATTACATTTCAATGCAATAGAATATTGTGCCACACATCGTCTCAACCCAACAAAGAGTGACATAATGCTCTGCAGCATGAAGCAAATTCACCTATAGTTGTTAAAAACTATTCCTTCATCTCATCAGTACCTTTGGGATAAATTTTTCTGGCACTTCTATGCTGAAGGCCAAACTAGAGACCCTAGGCTCTTATTGTGGCTGGAGGCCAGGAAAAGCACTTCTTCCCATTAGAAACTATTCCTTCATCTCATCAGTACCTTTGGGATAAATTTTTCTGGCACTTCTATGCTGAAGGCCAAACTAGAGACCCTAGGCTCTTATTGTGGCTGGAGGCCAGGAAAAGCACTTCTTCCCATTTCATTTACTGAATAATGCCTCCACCTTTAGGTCAAAGAAGCACACCCTTGTCAAAACAAATTCCTTTTTGAACCCAGCAGCTGTACCCCCAGCATCTCCCCATTGCTAGTTTGGACAAAAAAAGCAAGGCATTTTAGGTAATTACTTTTCCTGGGAACAAAAATCCCTAGCTAAAGGAATAGTCCAAACACTATTATTTTTGTGCTTCCATAAGTGAAAATAATAATGAAAGCACAAAAACTACTCAAATAGTTATGCAGTTTGTCTAGCAATTCATCTTTCCTCAAGCATTGCCATTGTTATATTGCCTCAACAGTAAGTCTTTATTGTAACTTTTGATTTCATCAAGTCAAATGTTACAAAAATGTATTCTGTACTATACCAAGTAATCAGATTGCTTTCTTTCAGTGGCAATTGCAATGATAGTAGGCCATAGTCCTGAGAAAAAAGCATGGCTGCACTATATCTGCTATTCTGGAAAGAGTTTCCTCTTAAGCCTGAAATCACAGAAACTGAATTTTTACTGTGAGGTCCTCAAGGATATCCTGGCAACACTTGATTAAAATCACATTTTTAAAGCAGCATGTGCTCTTCTCATGATTCTAAAAAGGAAACATCACCATGTGAAACAAAATTACCTTTATCACAAGGCATCTGAAAGAAGAAAGAAACAAAAGAGTCATGAATCATCTTCATCTTCATCTTCGTCATCTTCTTCTTCCTCATCTTCCTCTTTCTCATCCTCTTTCATTGGTTTCTCTTCTCCCAGTTCATCCTCCTTAGAGAAGAGCTCGAATGTCCCATCATTTGACCACATAGCTTTTATATGGATGTGAAACTTTGCCATTGGAAAATCCAGGAGTTTCTGAAATGGCACAATAGTTACATCAAGTTTGCATATGTTCATAAGTCCACTTTCTGTATGGGTAAGCAATTGGGGGTAAAAGCAACATACAAGCAGCTTGGCTTGTTCTGGAGATAAGCTCTCTCCCTCCTTGCAAACAGTGTGATCCTTGATCAAGTGAATGACACCTAAAATGAAGCATAAACATGTCAAATTGCAATCATTTTGACAAAAAATTTTGCAAGTTTTTTTTTAAAATTCATACTGATGCACTTCAGTTACTTGCTAATTTTTCCACTCCTACATTTTTTCTTGCTATTACAAAGGAAGATGGGTTCCACTTAGTTACAAAGTTGACTTCCCTATTCTCACCTGCAAAGATATCCAATGCTATGGATTTTATGATGNCACTTCAGTTACTTGCTAATTTTTCCACTCCTACATTTTTTCTTGCTATTACAAAGGAAGATGGGTTCCACTTAGTTACAAAGTTGACTTCCCTATTCTCACCTGCAAAGATATCCAATGCTATGGATTTTATGATGGAAGCAAGATCATGTGATGTTGACTGGTTAGTGACGAAGGCCATGTAGCCACTTGGGCTAAGAACAATTTCTCTAGTCTAGCCTAAATAGATCAACCACAGAGCCATCAACCATCTCATGAATGAAATATTGCTAACATCTTAGAAAAGGTGAAATGTGGCCAAGGGTATATGGAAACCAATATAAGTCTAGATTCAAAAGGGTCACTGATTTCCAGTTAAAATGGACTGACCTTTTTTGAGAGATGTTTGCATACCAAGCTTGAGACGAAGAAATGGCTCAAGAGAAAAGGGAAACTGTTCCAAGGGACCTTCTGACAGCACAACAGTTTTGGTGGCCACATTGCCAGCCCGAGCAAAATCATCTTCAGTATGATTGCTGAACCAGTCCAATGCTTCCTCCTTGGTTTTATTAGTGAAGAGAAGGCCACATTGACCCTGAAGCCTTTTTGAGATCTTGTGAAGGTTATCTCTATATTCATCCTGTGCACTACGGCCAAGTGCTATGGCCATAACCTNAATAATAGTCTCAGTCTCAAGAGTCAAAGGCCATCATTACCACAAGAAGAGGGAATGAAAGAAATGTTTATCACATCCTGGAGGAAATCCAACAAAACTCTTGCATTCACTTCATGGTGCAGTGTTGTGAATGTGAGAAAGCTGTTCTTCCTGGGCCTATTTGGTCAGTTTTTGTGGGGCAATGGTAAAGATTTCTGCTCCAGTTTCTCTTGAGAAGCCCTTGGAACACTACCTTTGTTGCAATCCATGCTCAAGAGATAAAGCTTGCACCAGCATCCTTAGCTTCACAAAAAAGTGACAGCTCTGATGTGATCAAGAAAACATAAATTTCACTGCCATAAGTAACATTAGGAAAAGAAAGAGGAGAATGTGTGTAAATCCAAAATTATATGCAGTTTTCAAGAATGATTTTTTTTGCCTACCTGTGCTATGTTTTGTCTGGCAAGGGTGGGTACTCTAATTGGACCATCCTGTGCACAATGTATATATACTAATTTCTACCAGGTCCCAGAGCCCATCCAAACAATGGATAATGAAGATGCCAAAAAAATGTGCACATGAAAAATGCAAGAGAAAAAAACCACAAGATATTGAAAGAAAATTAAGACAAAGTATGAAAAAAGCTGATCAAAGAGTTTCTTTTTAATCTTGATTTTCGCCAACCCCAGATCTCAGCCATGTCTACCTGGCTGATATGACATCTGTACTGTTGGCTGGCACTTTTGACAACATAAACTGATTTTTTAATGATCTGCAACTATACACACAAGGCATTGCATGCTTCCTTGCAAAGTTTATATTTGTCAGCTTGTTGATCTGAGAGAATCCTAAAATGTTCTTTTTTTTTTCTTTTACCCACCCTCTCTCCCCGTTTAAAGCAGCATGTGCTCTTCTCATGATTCTAAAAAGGAAACATCACCATGTGAAACAAAATTACCTTTATCACAAGGCATCTGAAAGAAGAAAGAAACAAAAGAGTCATGAATCATCTTCATCTTCATCTTCGTCATCTTCTTCTTCCTCATCTTCCTCTTTCTCATCCTCTTTCATTGGTTTCTCTTCTCCCAGTTCATCCTCCTTAGAGAAGAGCTCGAATGTCCCATCATTTGACCACATAGCTTTTATATGGATGTGAAACTTTGCCATTGGAAAATCCAGGAGTTTCTGAAATGGCACAATAGTTACATCAAGTTTGCATATGTTCATAAGTCCACTTTCTGTATGGGTAAGCAATTGGGGGTAAAAGCAACATACAAGCAGCTTGGCTTGTTCTGGAGATAAGCTCTCTCCCTCCTTGCAAACAGTGTGATCCTTGATCAAGTGAATGACACCTAAAATGAAGCATAAACATGTCAAATTGCAATCATTTTGACAAAAAATTTTGCAAGTTTTTTTTTTAAATTCATACTGATGCACTTCAGGTACTTGCTAATTTTTCCACTCCTACATTTTTTCTTGCTATTACAAAGGAAGATGGGTTCCACTTAGTTACAAAGTTGACTTCCCTATTCTCACCTGCAAAGATATCCAATGCTATGGATTTTATGATGAGCTATAAGCAAGATCATGTAATGATGACTGGTTAGTGACGAAGGCCATGTAGCCACTTGGGCTAAGAACAATTTCTCTAGTCTAGCCTAAATAGATCAACCACAGAGCCATCACCCATCTCATGAATGAAATATTGCTAACATCTTAGAACCAGCCCTTTTAATGATATGTTAGCCATAGTCTGATTTGCCACAATTAAGAGGAAATTCAAAAGGTGAAATGTGGCCAAGGGTATATGGAAACCAATATAAGTCTAGATTCAAAAGGGTCACTGATTTCCAGTTAAAATGGACTGACCTTTTTTGAGAGATGTTTGCATACCAAGCTTGAGACGAAGAAATGGCTCGAGAGAAAAGGGAAACTGTTCCAAGGGACCTTCTGACAGCACAACAGTTTTGGTGGCCACATTGCCAGCCCGAGCAAAATCATCTTCAGTATGATTGCTGAACCAGTCCAATGCTTCCTCCTTGGTTTTATTAGTGAAGAGAAGGCCACATTGACCCTGAAGCCTTTTTGAGATCTTGTGAAGGTTATCTCTATATTCATCCTGTGCACTACGGCCAAGTGCTATGGCCATAACCTTGTTCTTCCCCAAGAAGAATCTACAAGAAAATGACAGGAAATATACATCCATCTCAATATCATGTCAAGACATAAATGAGGCTAAAATATAGAAAATTTGGAGCTCACTCAGACTGGTAAGTACTGGTGCCATCAAACTGATATGAGATGCAGAATTGACTGATTCAAATCTTTGAGTCAGCTGATTTACATCAAGTTGTCATATTATGGTTTCTGAGTCTTTTTTTTTTTGGATTCTGTCATCTGAGGCAGGAAAATAGCTCAACACTTTGAGCCCTGCAGCTGTCATATGATATCCTACACCAGGGCTTCCCAACCCAGGGGTTGCAACCCCATTTGGAGTTGCAAAGTTCATGTTTGGGGTCATGAATGGGAACTAAATGCAAAGTCATGTTTTTCTTTGCGATTTTAGTGCATAAGTGGGGGAGCCTATCTAACTTTGGCCAATGCTTGGGGCCGTGAATAGTATGAAAGTGATTTTTGGGGTCGTGCGTGAAAAAGGTTGGGAAGCCCTGTCCTACACCCATAGCACATTCAAATTGCCAGGGCTCAAAGTGTAAAACACTTGCTAGAATGTTCCAAAATTCAAAGTTTCTTAAAATCTTCCAAAATTAAAAACTTTTATAATTCAAACATTAATTATTTTCCTGTGATTTCCTGTGTACTCAAGCCGATAGAGATTGAAAAAAAAAGGACTTGAGCTACAGTAGTAAGCTAATGTGAGCTACAGGGTAAAAGCCATTAAAACCATCACTTATATGCTTGATTCTTCTACTTTTCCAACTGCTGCAGGACTTTTAATTACTCTATTAATTGCACATGATTCCACAATAGATTTTTAAAATAAATAAAAAAATGCTTGGTATAACTGACTTACCTTCATAATTCAACCTCCTTTTGCCTATATGCCTTTCATGTGTTATGTCTATTTTACCTTAAAAGACAGGCAAGTATTAAACCTTAACAAGGGGTGATTACAAGTCTTTTAGCAGCTATAAAGGAAAATCAAAGCTAGATGAAAATGAACCCCTTCATACATTAATTAGTCATGAAATTGCTGGTGCCCTAAAAGTCAATGTGGCCTGGACAGGCCAAAGTGAATTTTAAAAATACATAGATGAGCATGTTCTGATAATGAAGTCTAAGTTGAGGCGCTGGTACCTCAGATTTTATTATAACATTTTTGTGCTACAAATGTTTTGACTCTAGGGGCATCTACTATATACTAGTTCACAGTATAAGTAAGATTGGAAAAAACAACTCCTCTACTATCACAGGGTGTCCTGCTTGAAAGTAGCCTGGCAAGTAATTCCATATTGTTTCTTGTTGGAGACTGTCTTTCACGCTGGTTGCAATAGATTGTTGTGGTAATGCAAGAGAGGCTTAACCCTTCGCAGTCCTATTATTTTTTAAGTTTCACAGGCCAAAAAGTCCAATTTTTTACACTGTTTTTTATTGAAATAGGTTCGAATGAGGTTTTATTATTTCTATTTCAGTTGAGTAATTTCTAGCCATCTGAAGTAAAAATAATGCCTATAAACACGCAAAAGAATAGCACTGTTCCATTGAGCAAAGTTGTATGAAAGAAGAAATGACAGGTAAGAGTTATGAAAGCTACTAAAGCTATAGGGCAAATTATAAATGGGTGAAACAGAATGAACTGTCCAAGAGTTTCTTTATCAATGTGATCATCACTCGACATTTCTTCTTGCCTCTAAATGAACTTCACCTCCAATGCCAATCATTAATTATGCATGTGCCTCATGAAGAACTTAAGGAATTCTTTTCTTTTTTTTTCAAAACTTTTACCAACCTAAAGAATAATGAATTTGCTTGCCTGTTCATGTTGCATCCATATTATGAAATGAGCATCAATACATATTTTTTTATGAGGTAAAACATATGCTGGATCATAGAAACTTGAGCTTTTCCATCAAAAGAAAAAGGTGCAATACAAGCCTGAAATCAAATATACATAGCCCATTTCCTTGGTGAAGTAATCTTGGAATTATTTATTCCTTCATGGAGATGGAAAATATCACTTCAATGCCTTCATCCTATGAATCTGCACCTCCATTAGATGCACACATGGCTCTACACTCACCTAAAATCCCACCCAACTGAGAGATGCTTCAGTCAATCTGGCTGATTTCAAGAATAAATGATAATATAAGTTTCCTTTCTCTCATTATCACCCAGGAAAGCAACAAATAGAGCTGAGATTTTTATTCCTTTCAGATGGAGACATCTGTTCAGTACATCCAAAATGTTAACAGAGATAGTGCCTGCAAATACACATCAGCACCACACCCTCAGCCATTTCTCTATTATATGTTTGGACAGGCTATGAATAGTCTATAATGTGCTCCATGCTTAGAAACTAATATACCTGCTGTGTTTCCACTGAGAACGGACATCTTTCAGCTTGGTATTCCTCATATCTTTCACACTGAAGACAAAGATGCGGGCATGTGAGTCAACACAATTATGGACATCTTCTATTAACTTCTGCTTGCTCTCCAGACCCTTCTTCTTCGTTCGTGTCAGCGAAACTATATAAAAATGGGTATAAAATATGAGTATATTTTCCTTATCTCATCCCATGAGGTAGCCTAGGCATGTGGGCCCAGCAAATCACTAAAATTGACCCTGAAACATTTGGAATATGAAATTGTCCAATGGAACTGGAAATGATGGGTATATGGTACAGAATATTCTTGCTAATACTCAAAGGCTTTCATCTACTATACCAATGTTGCACATCCATGATTCTAATGACTACACAACAACTCTGCATATACACCAATGCCAATTACTCTGACTTGGCAAAGATGGTAATGCCAGCAATGAAAGAAATGTACCTATCTTAATTTCTAAGTATAGGACATCCAGAATTTCCAATCATCAGAACTCCTTGTCATTAAATGTAACCTGCTTTTTGCCACTGGATAATAGATAGTCAATAGAATATGCTTACACAATATGCAAGAGAGAGACAAGTTCAAGTGACTGCAATTTTAGCCTAAAAAATGACCCTAACCACACATTTAGCACTGAGCCAAAGATTAACCATTCTACAAAAACACATTCTACTAAGCAATATTCTACTTTGGGTGATGAACACCACTCATGTGCTTAAGCCTATAATGCATAACAAATTACTACAAAAGTTGGAGAATTCAACTCACTGATTTTTGGTCTTTTCCCTTTGGGCATGTTGTTGTTGTTGTCTGACCAACTCTAAACTTGGCCTTCCCCAAGGACAATATGCGTGCCTCAAAAGAGCCGCCAAAGGTCAATGAAACCACAGAGTTCTGCCACCAAACAGCCCTTGACCTAGGCGTAAAAGCTAAGGTCTGAGCGATTTCTGCATACGTGAAAACAAGAACTGTAACAGTCAAAAGCCAGGACTTTTGGTTGCTCAAAATCTATGTCTAATTCTGATGCTCTAACGTTATTCAGCGGTTCCCAAACTTTTGACCAACTTTCCTTCAGGGTTCATATGTAGCGTACCATCTGTGGTACGCGAGCCACAGTTTGGGAACCGCTGCCCTATCTCATCGTAGGCTTAGCTTGTCCATGGTCTAACGTTAGGTGTAATTTAGGCTCGTCGGCCTCGACCGTTTAACACACCACATGGATATGCTAACCACCTTTTCATTTCTTAAACACATCTAGGGCAATGTTATCACGTACACTGAAAATGTGAATTGCGGTTTCTATGACCAATTCAGTCAGAGTTCGTCTACAGTTTCAGCAAAATGACGAAAAACTGAAACTACTCTGAATGAGATTAATCCACTGCTAGAGTGACGGCGAGACCGACACGCGGCCATGTGCCTTTCGCGCTGGTGCCAGTGCGACACGAGGGACATCTACTTTCCTGTCCGACAGGATTTGTCAGAGTGATTCTGGCGAGATGGTGTCCTCATCCGGCACACGTTTTTTAATATTCCACATAATAACTTAAATGAAAATTGCTACCGTGATGATCATAAATGAAGTACTTACCTTGAGAGCACAAAAAATTTTGAAATATAGAAATCCACATTCCCCTCACTGGTTAATCCTTTTTTTTTTCTACTTAACAGGTGAATAACCTAGGTTTCGATGTCTGTCACCGGTATCGAAAATCGGCATTTAATGCTCCATGACATCAACATAGAAAAGCAATTCTCAGGAGCTAAAGTACAACAAACGTATTTCTTCATTTATGGTTTGTCCTTGGAGATATCAAGCCTGCCAAAGCAATCCACTTCACTCAATCTACATTTAATCCATTCCACCTGCCGACGAATGGAAAATTTATTTTGTGGCTGAGTCTTCAATGAAGCTTACGAAATTTATCTGAACAAGTTCCCCCTCGTTCTGTCGTTGCAATGAAGTCGTAAAAATTCATTGCGCTCCACGTTATGAAAACCTTAACTGATCTTAAGTGCTCATACGAGATCCTCCCTCGTTAAACCCCCCAGTGAATGAGGTCGCAATGCGTCAAGCTATTAAACTCCCCTCGGAGGAAGAAAAGATCCTCCCCTTGTCTCCTCGACGATGCCTGCAGTCTGCCACTCCAACCTATTTAGTGTCACCAATTCCTCTCTGCAAATCTAAAATTAAACACCGACCTCTAACGGAGGCCCGGTACCAGCCCTTACGAGTGCCTTGTATTAATATATAGGAAGGGAAACGCACGAACTGTTATCGGTTATGGAACGCGGGAAGAAACCCAAGATCCTGTTACATTTAGCCATCGTGGTCTGCGGACGTTTGGGAATTAGAAGTCCCGTCATGGTTGACGACCCTTAAATCCCTTACCCACTTCATTGCCCGAGGCCATCTTATCCAGCCCTTTCGGAGACCTGTAATTATCATGGCCAAAGTGAAGGACTTTACATTTACCCTTATTGAACTTCATTAACCATATTTTACCCCACTCATCTAATAAGATCGAAATCCCTCTCGGCCCTCGTAAAAACAGCGCTATGTGCCCTTCGAGAAAACAACCTCCCACCCTGTTTTCCACTCAATGCTCGCAGTGCAGAGTCATGCAAACTCACCTCATCGACGTCACACGAAGAAAATGCGGTTATTATTGCAATCATTGCGGCCGGAAGGAAATTTTTCTTTTTCTTTGGGGGGTGGGGGGGGGGCATAATCTAATAGGTTTTTATTCTGGTTTGCATCGAAGGATTTCGAACGCTTAGTACAGAATGTCCCAGGTAAAAGGAGACTGCATGATACTGGCAATATTGATTTATTGATGCACAATATACCTGGGCACAAAAATGCGTCCAGGATCACGATGGACAATTTCAACTCTTATTTCGAGGTTAATAATTATATAGTATATTTGCACTGATTAAGATTGAATTAGCAATGTAGCAAAGAACTATTAGCAATTAACGATGAGCTACTCTCAGCTGCATAAATAGCCCGAGAGGACGACAGAGGAACGAGTCCAGGAAATGCGAATCCCACACAATCCCCTAAGACAGGCACGGACAAACGCTCGAGTTCATCTGCCGAAAGTTGAAGAAAAGTAGAAACGAGAGGGAAAGGGCGACGAAGCGAGACGAGGAGGCAGGCATCCTCAAACGAGGAATCGATCTCGGGGGATCGAGTGCTCGCTGCGACATCGACGGCGACCTGCGTCAGACGAGACTGAAAGGAAAACTTTGAAAGGAGATGCTGCCACTTGGGAGCTATGAGTTCGTTCTGGCACGTATTCTGTAGACCGAGTCCTTTTCTCCAAGGTTTAGCATCTCCCAGGAAATTCTACGGCGGGGAAAATTCGAATCACGCAGCCGATATGCCCAAGGAGGTAATATGATAAGTTCCCCCCCGGCGCTTCGTTTCAATGCATGGTACGATTGAATTGGAAACGGGATGCTGGTCATGGGAAGAGGGTGCAGATATCCTGATGAAGTTCAGTACCTTTCAGGTTTTCTCGTCGAGGTGTCCATAAAATCCAGGAACTCATTTTATGTTGTACTGGCGTATGTATTGACGCAGTGGTGAAGAAACTCGACATTTCTCGAGTCCATAGCGAGGGGACTTGCTCAAGCCCAGGGAGTCAGACGGTAACCCTCCCGAAAGCAGCATGATATGCCGCTCGTATCTAAACCCTAAATTATTCTGAGAATCTCCGATATTCATCATAGTGTTTCTTTCCGATCGGATCGTCTGATCGACATCGCAGCTTATCCGCAACGGGTGACGCTTTCCCCGCCTAGCAACCGACTCGGAATGGTGGCGGGCGCAAGCTTGGTCGTCTTCCACGCGACTGCACGTCCCACACCAGTGAACAAGATGATGATGGTCTTGCTTGCATGTCTGATTGTGACAACGGGGACAACGACTCCGTGACTGAGTCGCACAATTTCTTCCTCGAGAGTCAGTGAGAACGTGAAGTGCGTTTGGGAATGAGAAATCGCCTTTTCGTATGGATCTGGTCAGGTCGAGAAGTGTATTGTACATTTTGGATAAAACACTTCCTCTTTTTCATATTGTACATATTGTATACAGGGTGTCTCAACAAAAATGTATACACACTTGAATCAAGAGTGATTTTGGAAATCTGAGAACACATGTGAAGTGCAAAGAAGGTGGAGAAATGAACTTGCAACTATGCCACCATGATGTACTAGAACTTTCAAGGATTCAAGGTAAATTTGATGCTGATGATTTGATGCTGGGAGACCATGCACTGTACGTGCATGGTCTCCCAGAACATTGCTAGTACTGTAATGCACAAACAATGTTCTGATAGACCTCACACATCAACAGGTGGGGAAAATGCTGCTGTTGCAATGCAAGCATTCACACGATCGCATGAAATTGAGGAGTCCTGTGCTGCTATCCCAGCAGAAACCTGTCCACAAGTTTGTTGCACTGTTGCTCACTGCTGTCAACAGTGCCTGGATGCTAACGGTGAACAATTCGAACATCTGTGTAAGATGAAGATGATTCATGACTCTTTTGTTTCTTTCTTCTTTCAGATGCCTTGTGATAAAGGTAATTTTGTTTCACATGGTGATGTTTCCTTTTTAGAATCATGAGAAGAGCACATGCTGCTTTAAATGGGGAGAGAGGGTGGGTAAAAGAAAAAAAAAAGAACATTTTAGGATTCTCTCAGATCAACAAGCTGACAAATATAAACTTTGCAAGGAAGCATGCAATGCCTTGTGTGTATAGTTGCAGATAATTCAAAAATCAGTTTATGTTGTCAAAAGTACCAGCCAACAGTACAGATGTCATATCAGCCAGGTAGACATGGTTGAGATCTGGGGTTGGCGAAAATCAAGATTAAAAAGAAACTCTTTGATCAGCTTTTTTCATACTCACAGAATTAAAAGAAAGTTATAGAACACCAAAAAAAGAGAACGTAAAAAGTACACGTGTAAAAAAACCGTAGAAGTAATAGGTAACAAACCTACCCGAGACCCTGGACCATCTTTAATCATATATATCATTGTGCACAGGATGGTCCAATTAGAGTACCCACCCTTGCCAGACAAAACATAGCACAGGTAGGCAAAAAAAATCATTCTTGAAAACTGCATATAATTTTGGATTTACACACATTCTCCTCTTTCTTTTCCTAATGTTACTTATGGCAGTGAAATTTATGTTTTCTTGATCACATCAGAGCTGTCACTTTTTTGTGAAGCTAAGGATGCTGGTGCAAGCTTTATCTCTTGAGCATGGATTGCAACAAAGGTAGTGTTCCAAGGGCTTCTCAAGAGAAACTGGAGCAGAAATCTTTACCATTGCCCCACAAAAACTGACCAAATAGGCCCAGGAAGAACAGCTTTCTCACATTCACAACACTGCACCACGAAGTGAATGCAAGGGTTTTGTTGGATTTCCTCCAGGATGTGATAAACATTTCTTTCATTCCCTCTTCTTGTGGTAATGATGGCCTTTGACTCTTGAGACTGAGACTATTATTTCACAGGAATTTCCTTTTAACTCTTTGTGGACCAGTCTTTTTTTCTCATGCCTCACGAGGTTCAAATTATTTTAGGAAGCAAAAATGCTGCATTCCCTTGAAACAATAATGCAGTAAAACACATTGCGACACTTGATCATTAAAACAAGAGGTGAAACACAGCAAACACTAGTCTGGCAGAAC